GTAAACAGCATCGACACTATGATGAAACTGCATCAACTAATGGGAAAAACAACCAGCTAGCATCAAAATGTCAGGATCAAATTCACACATAACAATATTAACCTTAAATGTACATAGGCTAAATGCCTCAATCAAAAGACACAGACTGGCTAACTGGATAAAAAGTCAAAACCCATCAGTGTGCTGTATTCAGAAAACCCATCTCTCATGCAAGGATACACATAGGCTTAAAATAAAGGGATGGAGGAAGATTCACCAAGAAAATGGAGAGCAAAAAAAGAGCAGGAGTTGCAATCCTAGTCTCTTATAAACTTTAAACCAACAAAGATCAAAAGAGACAAAGAAGGACATTACATAATGGTAAAAGGATCAATGCAACAAGAAGAGTTAACAATTCTAAATATATATACGCCCAATACAGGAGCACCTAGATACATAAAGCAAGTTCTTAATGAACTACAGAGAGACTTAGACTCCCACACAATAACAGTGGGAGACTTTAACACTTCACTGTCAATATTAGACAGATCAATGAGACAGAAAATTAACAAGGATATCCAGGACTTGAACTGAGCTCTGGACCAAGCAAACCTAATAGACATTTACAGAACTCTCTACCCCAAATCCACAGAATATACAGTCTTCTTAGCACCACATTGCACCTACTAGAAAATTGACTACATAATTGGAAGGAAATCACTCCTTAGCAAATGCAAAAGAATGGAAATCATAACAAACAGTCTCTCAGACCACGGTGCAATCAAATTAGAACTCAGGATTGAGAAACTAACTCAGAACTGCACAACACCATGGAAACTGAACAACTGGCTCTTGAATGTTGACTGGATAAACAATGAAATTGAGGCAGAAATAAAGCTGTTCTTTGAAACCAAAGAAATGTAGACACAACGTATAAGAATCTCTGGGACACATTTAAACCAGTGTCTAGAGAAAAATTTATAGCAATACATGCCCACATAAGAAGCAAGGAAAGATCTAAAATCGACACCCTATTGTCAAAATTGAAAGAGCAAGAGAAGCAAGATAAAAAACACTCAAAAGCTAGCAGAAGACAAGAAATAACTAAGATCAGAGCAAAACTGAAAGAGATAGAGACACAAAAAACCCTTCAAAAAATCAACATATCCAGGAGCTGGTTTTTGAAAAGATCAACAAAATAGACAAACCACTAGCCAGATTAATAAAAAAGAAAAGAGAGAAGAATCAAATAGATGCAAAAGAAAAGAAAATGATAAAGGAAATATTACCACAGATTCCACAGAAATACAAATCATCATCAGAGATTACTACAAATAACTCTATGCACATAAGCTAGTAAACCTGGAAGAAATAGATACATTCCTGGACAATTGCTCTTTCCCAAGCCTAAACCAGGAAGAAATCAAAACCATGAATAGACCAATAACAAGGGCTGAAGTTGAGACAGCAATTAATAGCCTGCCAACCAAAAGAAGTCCAGGTCGTGATGGGGTTCACAGCCGAATTCTCCCAGACATACAAAGAGGAGCTGGTACCATTACTTCTGAAACTATCCCAAACAATTCAAAAAGAGAGAATCCCTCCCAAATCATTTTATGAAACCAACATCATCCTGATACCAAAACCCAGCAGAGACTCAAGAAGAAAAGAAAACTTCAGGACAATATCCATGATGAACATAGATGCAAAAATCTTCGATAAAATACTGGCAAACAAAATACAGCAGCACATTAAAAATCTTACCCATCAAGATCAAGTAGGCTTCATCCCAGGGATGCCAGGCTCGTTCAACATATGCAAGTCTATAAACATAATTCACCACATAAACAGAACCTAAGACAAAAACCACATGATTATCTCAATTGATGCAGACAAGGCCTTGACAAAACTCAACAACCCTTTATGCTAAAAACTCTCAATAAACTAGGTATCAATAGAACCTATCTCAAAATAATAAAAGCTGTTTATGACAAACCCACAGCCGATATCATACTGAATGGGCAAAAACTGGAAACATTCCCTTTGAAATCTGGCACTAGACGAGATGTCCTCTCACCACTCCTATCCAATATAGTATTAGAAGCTCTAGCCAGAGCAATCAGGAACGAAAAAGAAACAAAAGGTATTCAGTTAGGAAAGGAGGAAGTCAAATTGTTTCTATTTGCAGACGACACGATTGTATATTTACAAGACTCCATCGTCTCAGCCCAAAATCTCCTGAAACTGATAAGCAACTTCAGCAAAGCCTCAGGATACAAAATCAATGTGCAAAAATCACAAACATTCCTATACACCAATAACAGACTTAAAGAGAGCCAAATCAAGAATGAACTGCCATTCACAATTGCTACAAAGAGAATAAAATACCTAGGAATACAACTAACAAAGGATGTAAAGGACCTCGTCAAGCAGAACTACAAACCACTGCTCAATGAAATAAGAGAGAACACAAACAGATGGAAAAACATTCCATGCTCGTTGTTAGAAAGAATCAATGTTGTGAAAATGGCATACTTAGCAAAGTAATTGATAGATTCAGTGCTATCCCCATCAAGCTGCCTATGATCCTCTTCACAGAACTGGAAAAAACCACCTTAAACTTCATATGGAATCAAAAGAGAGCCCACATAGTCAAGTCAATTCTAAGCCAAAAGAACAAAGCTGGAGGCATCACACTACCGAACTTCAAACTATAGTACAAGGCTACAGTTATCAAAACAGCATGGTACTGGTACCAAAACAGATATATAGACCTATGCAACAGAACAGAGGCCTTGGAGGCAGTGCCACACATCTACAACCGTCTGATTTTTACAAACATGACAAAAACAAGCAATGGGAAAAAGAATCCCTGTTTAATAAATGGTGTTGGGAAAACAGGCTATGTGTGGAAAGCAGAAACTGGCCCCTTCCTGACACCTTATACTAAAATTAACTCCAGATGGATTAAACACTTAAACATAAGACCTAACATCATAATAACCCTAGAAGAAAACCTAGGCAAAACCATTCAGGACATTGGCATATGCAAGGACTTCATGACTGAAACACCAAAAGCATTGGCAACAAAAGCCAAAATAGACAAATGGGATCTAATTAAACTCCAGAGCTTCTGCACAGCAAAAGAAACAATAATTAGAGTGAACTGGCAACCAACAGAATGGGAAAAAATTTTTGCAATCTACCCACCTGACAAGGGACTTATATCCAGAATGTACAAAGAACCAAAACAGTTTTACAAGAACAAAACAAGCAAACCCATTCAAATGTGGGCAAAGGATATGAATAGACAGTTTTCAAAAGAAGACATATATGAGGCCAACAAACATATGAAAAAATGCTCATCATCACTGGTCATTAGAGAAATGCAAATCAAAAACCACATTGAGATACCATCTCACCCAGTTAGAATGGCGATCATTAAAAAATGTGACAAAAGATGCTGGAGAGGATGTGGAGAAATAGGAACACTTTTACACTGTTGGTGGGAGTGTAAATTAGCTCAACCATTGTGGAAGACAGTGTCATGATTCCTCAAGGACCTAGAAATAGAAATTCCATTTGACCCAGCAATCCCATTACTGGGTATATATCCAAAGGATTATAAATTGTTCTAATATAAAGACATATGCACACACATGTGCATTGCAGCACTGTTTACAATAGCCAAGACTTGGAACCAACCAAAATGTTCATCAATGATAGACTGGACAGGGAAAATGTGGCACATATGCACCATGGAAAGTGATACAGCTATAAAAACAATGAGTTTGTGTCCTTTGTAAGGACATGGATGAATCTGGAAACGACCATTCTCAGCAAACTGACACAAGAACAGAAAATCAAACACCACATGTTCTCACTCATAGGCGGGTGTTGAATAATGAGAACATATGGACACAGGGTGGGGAGCATTACACACTGGGGTTTGTTGGAGGGGAATAGGGGAGGGACAGTTGGGTGTAGGGATTTGGGGAGGGATAACATGGGGAGAAATGCCAGATATAGGTGATGGGGATGGAGGCAGCAAACCACATGGCCTTGTATGTGCCTATGTAACAATCCTGCATGTTCTTCACATGTACCAGAGAACCTAAAGTGAAATTTTATACACACACACCCCAAAACATTTTCAATCATATAAAAAGTTGAAATTATAGTATAATACATACCCATATACCTACTACTAGATTCAAAATTTATTAGTATTTTTCCATGTTTTATTAATTTCTAATCCACAGAAAATCTCCATGTATCAATTTGTTTTCATGTATCTTTTCACACTTTTCCACAAAAAATAGAGAATAAAATACACAAGGAGATAAAGTTTTGGCTATTTGAAGTTTCTACTTGTTCTGGAAAAGAAAAGGAGCTTTATTATACTTATTCTCAGAAAAAGTTTTACTAAAGTATTCAAGCCTTATAATGTTCTCAGCTTAATAGTATTTGGCACTATATAAGATTTAAATGATAAGGTCTCCAGAAACTTATTGTAATGGCTTTAGGCACAAAACAACTCCTAGATGTCTCACAGAATCTGTGTTTTTTCAACTTTTATTTCTTTCATATTAATTTCATGTAACATTTATTATGCACTTAGTCCATACTAAGTAATTTTTGAATTAACAAGTATATATTAACTTGTTAATTCAATATAATTTAATTCTTACAACAAATCTAAGAGGTATTATTATTATTCCCCCTTTACAGATAAAGAGGAAGTAGAGAACTCACATACAGGAGAAAAAATGACAGGAAATTGGTGTCTTCGAAAGGGAATCTACTTCTTTATCTACTCTTAAGTAATTTCTTAGCAATAATCTAGTTTCAGTATGGGCAGTCTTGTTACTGACACTTGTTGAAGAGGGCTAGAAATAAAAAGAAATGTAACAAGTTGTGTTATCTGAGGTCAAAATAGATTCTGGTGGATGGAGATAGGGGATACTCCTCTGTAGCCCTAAACCGTTTACATAAACTGATTCACACAGGGGCTGTATTACTTCTGGGGAACTCCACCAATCAATAATGGTTCATACACAAATTTGGGCAAATCAAGAGAGACGAATGGAAATTAGATTGTAGAGATCATGACCAAGAAGGCAAGAAAGAATTCGTTAGAAGAGAAGATGATGCCTGCCAGGTCGGGCAATGTTTAGCGACAATGCTCATATCTTGAGGGGTTCCAGCAGCAATGTAGATAGAGATCAAACCTTGGTTTGTGTATCCCAGGAGAAGGTGGCCATGTTACTAATTGCTGACACACTGGATTCAAGCAAGCTTATTGTGGTATACTTTCAGTATGATATAGAATGAATGGTCTCTACATGTTGCGAAAACATCAATGCCATCTGTTGTGAGAACTGTTTTTCTGGTTACACTCACAAAAGAATAATTACCAAGTGTGGGGGAAAAGTTCCATGTTAGAGTGAGCCTCTGACGGAGTCTTGAGGCTTGAGGCTGTAGGTTCTAGGTCTGGCTATTTGTAGTGGCTAGCAATAAATCAGGATTGACCCATGGGCCAGTGAAAACATGGCAGGCCAGGTCTCGCTAACGCTGGCCTCCATTACAAATGTCCCAGCACTGTCTGAGTAGCTAGGTTGAACATTGAAAGCTCATTGAGCCAGTGCCCTTATAGAAAGGCTGGAATGTAACAAAAATCCCACCCGGAGTTTTGCCTAGGCCTTTCCTGGGATTTAAAGTGTGACAGAGGCCAGGTGCGGTGGCTCACGCCTATAATCCCAGCACTTTGGGAGGCCGAGGTGGGCGGATCACGAGGTCAAGAGATCGAGACCATCCTGGCCAACATGGTGAAACCCCGTCTCTACTAAAAATACAAAAATTAGCTGGGCGTGGTGGCGCGCCTGTAGTCCCAGCTACTCGGGAGGCTGAAGCAGAAGAACTGCTTGAACCCGGGAGGCGGAGGTTGCAGTGAGCCAAGATCGCGCCACTGCACTCCAGCCTGGCGCCTGGCGACGAAGCAAGACTCTGTCTCAAAAAAAAAAAAAAAAAGTGTGACAGAATAACAAAGGATTTCTTAATAGGACCCATTTAGTGTTAAACAAGTTTCATTGGTGGTCTGAAGAAAACTCCCCAGTCTTCCACAAACAAGTTTATTGGAGATCTGAAGGAACTGCCCAAACCGCCATGGTTTAGCAGGAGGCAAGATAAGGGTGACCAACCCAGTACCTGGACCCATTTAGATTAAGTAAATTTACTGAGGCTTGAGAGGAAGGTTTTTGGGACTCAGGCCTTAGTTGTAGATTAAAATAAGTTAATCACATATGTCTTTAGGTGAATGCATACTTACATGTAGACACATAGCTTAGAAGGTTATATAAGCTCTGGAAAACTTTGTAATTTGAGTTGGTCTGATGATAATTTTCAGGTCTCTTCCCTGTAACCAGTTACTGAAATAAAACACTCTCTTCCTCCCCATTTCATCTGCATCTCTTCATTGGACTACGGAAATAGCAGCCCGACCCTCAGTTTGGCCCAGGAACAAAAGCACTCCTGATTCCTCTCAGAAATTCTTGAGGAGAAGGGACTTCCTGTACTTAAGGATATGAGGGCATGCAAATTTGTAATTCTTTCTATACTTTCATGTAGAAGTTTACAATCTCACTGGGAGATAGTTAAATGATATGATCTATTTGATTGAGAGGGTATCTGTAACATTATGAAATATGTTGCTTATCTAAGATCACATCCCTCTGGTGGCCAAGACCCTTTAAGGCTCTGGAATAATAGGGAAGCAGGAATGTTTGGCTCTTACAATTTTAGAGGAGTTATCATTTATCTCATGGCTGTGTATACAATGGCGGTCAGGCAGTGCCCCAGCGCAAGGCTGATTCAGATGACATCTTCACAAAGATTTTACTGAACCAATATAATGTCTTTTGAGTTGTTTCCCAAATAAAGCCCCTCCCATTATCTTAGACATATAACAGAAGTGTTCTGTTATTTACAGGGGTTTGGTCTTATCTTTTATATTCTAAATAGGTTATTGTGAAACTCTGTCATGCTCCATGCCACACTTAAAACATCCTAAATTACCTAGATTTTATGTATTTGAGAGAGGACAGACTTCATCTTTCCAAATCTACATGATCATTCACAAGGAAAGACCTGTAACTAGTGCCAGCAAGGACACCTTCACACTCTGGCAGATGGATTCTAAACTAATTAGTTTGGAATGAAAAAAATCCATAGGAAATACACTATGCTAATATGGGCTATTCAAGGTTACCCTGCCTGGAAGAGATAAAGTTAGATATTTGGCAGAGAAAGGGAGAGGGGTAGGAGCAGATTAGAGGTTCACTTGGATTATGTTTTGATATTAGTCTGCCTTATCATTAGCATCAGGCCTCTGCAACAAGAAATTGCTAATATGTCACATACACTACATTTAAGTTTTAAATTGATTTTAAAAGACTGATTTATATATGAGCACAGTGCAGGCAACATGAGGCAGAATTTGATTATAAACTGAATATAATTAATATTCTGTAGGAAATAGTTTGTTGAAGGTCCCTGCAGGTTCATGAGAGTATTTCTATTTTTTTTAAGATCACTTGAAAATAAAAAATAAGATTATGACAAGCTTACTCAATCAGTTTTGAACACTTTAATTTCATAACATTAATGTGAGACTTGGTGGTGGCTTTGTGATGTGTTGACTAGGTTCAATGACATTTCCCAGAATTTCTTTTCCTGTGTATTTCTGGTTAGGGTAAGCCACAAGAGAGAATTTTGTGCAAGATGGGTAGGGTGGAAGTGAAGCAGTAACCATTTTGTAGCTCATACACATTGCTGCTTATTTGCTGGTTTACACTGTTGATGTGAGGGAGCAATGGGCTTGCAACTGCTCTGCCTTTCCCAGATCTTTCAGTTTCTCTGACTTTTGGGCCAAGTGTGTTTAGCTTTGTGATCAAGAGCCCTAGCTTCTGTAGGACACCTATGCTACCAGTGACAGAGGTAGCAAGAAGAGACATGGGTTTCAGCCCATCCTTGTAGGGGATCCACTAATGCTTGAGTTCCAGTTTGTTCTTGCTCACCCTACTGTATGTTTATCTTCCCTTCCTGACTACTTACCCTGTAGACCTCAAGCTTCAGCATCAGATATGGAGATACCAGCCTTATGTAGACTGCTTAACCAAATCCCACAATGCCCCCATCAAATCCCTTCACATAAGTGGTTCTAAACTGAGGGTGATTTTGATGCCCAGGGTGCATTTTGCAATTCTGGAGACATTTTTGATTAATATGATGGAGTGGGGAGATTAGGGAGAGCAGATGTGAGGGTTGCTACTGGCATCTAGTGGGCAAAGTCTAAGTATATGGCTAATATCCTACAGTGCACAGGACAGCAGCCCTCCCTGGAACATGAAGCTTTCTGGTCCAAAATATTAATTTTGGAGGTTGGGAAACCTATAGGGTTTTGGACTGTGTAATTTTTTTATGGGGCTGTGATTCTGCTTTCCTGATTAAACCCTGACTGATACTAATATTTTAAAATATAACCTTTAAAACATTTTACCAATTTTCTCCTTGTCAGCAAAGTTACATTTTTATCAAAGACCAAAAAGATGAAAACTTTTAATGAACATACACAGCTATCAATTTATAATGATATATTTGCAGATATAGTGCATGGTCAGATTGTAATCTTATTGAAACACAGTATATTGTAAAAGTCACAAAAGCTCTCTTCCAAAGTACTTTTTAAAATTAATAGACTTTTTTTTTTTACAGCCATTTTAGGTTTATGGAAAAACTGAGGGAAAAATAAAGAGTTCCATATATCACTCCTTCCCACAGTTTCTCCTTCTGTTAACATCTTGCCCCTTCACACAGTTTCTCCTATTGTTAACATCTTTCATTAGTGTGGTACATTTGTTATAATTGAAAAATCAGTATTGATGTATTATTATGAACTAAAGTCCATAGCTTACATTAGGGTTCACTTGTGCTTGTATTAGTTTGCTCAGGTTGCCATAAAAAAATACCATAGATTGGATGGTTTAGCTAACAGAATTTTATTTGCTCACAGTTATATAGGCATGAAGTGCCAGATTAAGGTCCAGCAGGATCATTTTCTGGTGGAGGAAATGTTGTCTCTCTTCATAGTTTGTAGACAGCAACCTTGTCTCTGTGTGCTCACACTGCCTTTCCTCTATGCCTCAGCAGAGAGAGAAAAAGAGAGGGAGGGAGGGAGGGAGAGACAGAGAGAGAGAGAGAGAGAGAGAGAGAGTGCTCTTATGTACCTTCTTGTAATGACAACAATCACCAGTCCTATTATATCAAGTCTTACTCTTATGACCTGTTACATTTTTAAAGGCCCTGTTTCCAAATACAGTCACAATGGGAAGTTAGGGCTTCAACATAAATATTTTGGTAGGGACACAATTCAGTCCATAGCAGTGCTGTACAGTTCTACCAGTTTTGACAAATGACATGTAGTTATTATTACAGTATCATAGAGAATAGTTTCAATGTCCTTAAAATTCCCTATGCTTCACCTATTCATCTCTCCTCTCAAACCCCTAGAAACTACTAATCTTTTTACTCTCTCTATAGAGTTTTGCCTTTTCCAGAATGCCATCTAATTGAAGTCATGTAGTATGTAGCCTTTTCAGATTGACTTTTCAGTTAGCAATATGCATTTCAGGTTCCTTCATGTGTTTTTGTGGCTTCATAGCTTATTTGTTTTTGCTGCTTAATAATATTCCATTGTGTGGATGTACCACAGTTTGCTTATTCAGTCAGCTGTTGAGGGACATTGTGGTTACTTTTGATTTTTGGAAATTATATATAAAGTTCCTGTAAACACTTGTGTGCAGTTTTGTGAAGGTACATCTTCAATTTATCTGCATAAGTACCTAGGACTACAATTGCTGGATTGTACGGTAAATCTATGTTTAGCTTTGTAACAAAATGTCAACTGTCTTTCAAAGTAGTTGTACCATTTTACATTCCTACCAGCAATGGATTTCCTATTTCTCTATGTTCTTACCAGCATTTGGCAATGAGTGTGTTTTGGATTTCAACTATTCTTTTTTTAATATTTATTTTTACATTTATTTTGTATTATTATTATTTTTTAGAGACAGACTCTTGCTCTGTCACCCAGGCTGAAGTGCAGTGGTATGATCAGAGCTCACTGCAACCTTGAACTCCTCAACTCAAGCAATTCTCCTGCCTCAACCTCCCAAGTGGCTAGGACTACAAGTGTGTGCCAACACAACTGGGTAATTATTTTTTTTTTCTAGCTATGGGGGGTCTTGTTATGTTGCTCAGGCTAGTTTAAAAATCCTGGCCTCAAGTAATCCTCCTGACTTGGCTCTGGGATTACAGATGTGAGCCACAATACTCAGCCTTGATTTTAACCATTCTATTAAGTGTATAGTGGTATCTTATTTATTTATTTATTTTGGTGAATAGATAAGTTTATTTGAATGCCTGCATAAAAATAAGCTGATGTCAAACAGGAAGAGGTTTTGCAAAGGCTTAACATTTATTAAACAATATAACTTGGTGGTTCCTTTTAGTCTGTCTCTGAACTCAGTTGACTGACATATCGTTATTAGTAGTCTGCCTTCCCCAAAAACCCCTGGAAGTGGGCAAGGCTTTGGTAGCAGGAGATGCCAACATTCATTACATGATGCCCATCCAATGTCAGACTCTGAACAGTTTACCTGTGATATATAAATACTTTGGAGTCTCTACAGGAATAAGGCCCAGCCTGATGAGGGTCTGACTAGACCTAACATCTTCTCAGGGCCCAGAAACAGTCCAGTTGAGCAGGGATTCAAGACAGCGCTCCAGACAGAGCAAAGGAAAGGAAACAATTGACAAGGCAAAATCAGCAGAAAGGCAGACTTGAAATCTGGACCAAAGGGCTGGGGAAGTGACACAGGAGTGGAGAGGGAAGTTTGGAAATACTGTACCTCTGGTACTACACATTTCTTCTTTTAAAACTATAGTATAATATCACAACCATGATATTACCGTTGATACAATTAACCCATCATATTCAGATTTCACTAGCTTTTCTTGTATTCATGTGTGCATGTGTACTTAGTTTTATGCAAGAGATTTTGTTTTTTATTCCTTCAAAGTGTCAAGTATTCATTCACCACCTCCTTCTACAACAGATTTTGAGGGCTCGTGAAAAAGCACTTGAAAATTCATTAGTCAGGACCTATATTTAGAAAAGTAAATCAGCCTGCCTATCCTCCTGGAGATAGAAGGTGCCTGATTTCATAGTCAAAGCTTTGATTTCCCATCCCTGATGAGGCTGATGAAAGGTCTTCTGTTTATTTCTGAAGAATCAATCCTATTAAGAGGATGATTTCCAACAAATATAAGTCAGGTTTTCTGTAAGTCACTTTACTTAAGACATGGGCTTTGAATTTGGAGAGAAGTTTGAATTCTATTTCTGCCATTTCCTAGTAGTGACATTTGGGCACATCATAAATGTTTGAGAAAGGCTGGCAGGTGTCAAGTCAAGTGTTTGGATTGTAACTTAAAGCTGATATTGAATTATTTTAATTGGGGGAATGATACAAACAGATTTGCATTTTAGAGAGATCTAGCACAGCTTATTATCATTTTTAGGTTACTAGCTTATTTGAGACTTTGAGACTCTCAGAAAGGACATAATTTCTTTTTCTATAAAATGCATACATATAATAACATAAATTTTAATATAATTTTAGGAAGCTTCTGAAGACTATGGATGCTAGTCTGCAAACTGTGGGGTAGAGGAATTTTTTTCTTTTCCCATTTGATATGTGATGAGTACCTGAGTGGATGGGAAAGAGGTGAGAGACTTGAATATATTTATATGCTGAAGGGACAGAGCCAGTACAAGGAAGAGGTAGGAATGTAGTAAAAGGAGAGAGTTATGGAAATGATTCCTTAACTCTTTCCTTATATCTTAGGAGGTAGGAAGGACTCAATCTCGTCTAGAACAAAGGCAATCCGATTATCTCTGGGCTGTAGGAGGGAACCTTCTAGTGAATTAAGAAGGAAAATGGGTGTGGGAATAAATGACAATGGGAGATGGAAGGAATACTTATGGAATTTCCTTTGTTTGTGTGTAGAAAGTGGACTGATTGCCTAAGAATGAAGGGAATGAAGGTTCAGTAAAAGTAGGGAAGTTTTGAATTAGCTCCCGGGAGAAGTGTGGAAAGATGCTGAAAGATGGTGGGAGATTTGTGAACAGGTTGTGGAGTTGGAGCACTCATCAGCAAAGTGTAATTTTTCTCTGGGACCTCTCAACATGCTGCTAAAAGGCAAGAATATGTATGGCATTTTGCAGAGAGAGCACAGTGGAAGCATCATTTTCTTTTTCTATAAAACAGAGAGAGTGATGATTTTTTTGATTGATTGATAGTATCAATATGTGCTCAGGGCCTCATGCCTATAATCTCAGTACTTTGGATGGCTGAGGTGGGAGGATTGCTTGAGGCCAGGAGTTCAAGACCAGCCTGGGCAACATAGGGAGATCCTGTCTCTACAAAGAAACTTGTAACCCCAAAACAAAAAACCCCAATTTAAATATACATTCAAATACACATTGGTTTTGTTGTGACCTCACCCACATTGCTATCAGCAAAAGGTCCAGTCTGACCCTTGGATCCCTGTACGATCCTATGGAAGAATGACATAGCAGAGTAGCAACTCCCTTTCCTTCTCGCCTCTCTATGGTGTTGATCATAAAGGAATTAGGGAATTTCTGGGCTACTGAGTCCTACTGTTCTAGACCCCAAATTTAAAGTCGTGGCTTATTTCAGAACATACTAGACAAATTCTCTTTTGCCTTATGAAATAGCTTTTTTTTTTCTTCTGGTGAATCTAAGATTCCCTTAGAAAAAGTGAAAAGAAAATAAGTAGAAGTTAGATGCATTTGTAAGTACATATAATTCATCACCATAAAGGTGGACAGTACTGTGTAAGCACACTTAAACTCCTTTAGCTATCAATTATGTTGAACACTTTTTCATATGCCTGTTTGTCAGTCATATATCTTCTTTTGAGAAATGTTTATGCAAATATTTTCCCCATCTTTTGATCAGATTATTTGATTTTTTTTCTTATAGAGTTGTTTGAGCTCCTTATATATTCTGGTTATTAATCCTTTGTCAGATGGGCAGTTTGCAAATATTTTCTCCCATGAAATTAAAATATGATCTATATTCTTTTGGTAATAATAACTTTTTATTGCCCCTATTCTTTCTTTTCCATTTTGTAGTGGATAGTGTAAGGATCGTGAACTATGTTGCATTACAAATGCTCTGGACACAGTTATTTGGTAAAATAAACATTTACGTAGCTGATAAAGCACATGTTTGTCCCCATCTGGATTGAGAAGTAATTAGAGGGAAGTCAACCTTGACATTTCAAAAGTGCTACTCCTCTGAGTCTCCCAATATTATAAAGTTGAACTTCACCAGCTTATCAACCTACAAGAAGTGGATTGTGCTGTGTCTATGGTATGGAAAGCTTGTAGCTAAAGTCCAGGTGTGTTCTTTTCTCTTGTCATATCTTTTTCAAATTTTTCTCATTGGGCTGGATAGAAAGTCTATAGAAAGTTAATCCCTTGGACATCTATGTTACAAGAACCTCTTTTTAAAAATTATACTTTAAGTTCTGGGGTACATGTGCAGAACGTGCTGATTTGTTACATAAATATACATGTGCCATAGTGGTTTGCTGCATCCATCCCCCTATAATCTATATTAGGTATTTCTCCTAATGTTAGCCCTGCCCAATCCCCCACCCCCTGCTATACCTCCCCTAAACCCCTACCCTGCAACAGGCCCCAGTGTATGATGTTCCTTCCCTGTGTCCATGTGTTCTCAATGTTCAACACCCACTTATGAGTGAGAACATGCAGTGTTTAGTTTTCTGTTCTTGTGTCAGTTTTCTGAGAATGATGGGTTTCAGCTTCATCCATGTCCTTTTGTTATCCAGTCTATCTTTGACAGACATTTGGGTTGGCTCCAAGTCTTTGCTATTGTGAAAAGTGCTACAATAAACATAAATGTGCATGTGCCTTTATAGTTGAATGTTTTATAATCCTTTGGGTTATATTCAGTAATGGGATTGCTGGGTCAAATGGTATTTCTGGTTCCAGATCCTTGAGGAATTGCCACACTGTCTTCAGCAATGGTTGAACTAATTTATACTCCCACCAACCGTGTAAAAGCATTCCTATTTCTCCACATATTCTCCAGGATTTGTTGTCTTCTGATTTTTTTATATGGTTGCCATTAACTGATGTGAGATGGTATCTCAATGTGGTTTTGATTTGCATTTCTTTAATGACCAGTGATGATGAGCTTTTTAAAAATATGTTGGTTGGATGCATAAATGTCTTCTTACGAGAAGTGTCTGTTCATATCCTTCACCCACTTTTTGATGGGGTTGTTTTTTTTTCTTGTAAATTTGCTTAAGTTCTTTGTAGATTTTGGTTATTAGCCCTTTGTCAGATTGGTAGATTGTAAAATTTTTTTCCCATTCTCTTGGTTGCTGATAACCTCTTGTTTTTTTTTACTTTCTTTTTTTTTCTCATTTAAAAAAATTTCCATAGGTTTTGCGGGGAACAGGTGGTGTTTTGTTACATGAATAATTCCTTTACTGGTGATTTCTAAGATGTTGGTGCACCCATCAGTTGAGCAGTATACACAGTACCCAATTGGTAGTCTTTTATCTCTCAACCCCTTACCATCCTTTCCCCTGAGTCCCCAAAGTCCATGGCATCATTCTTCTGCCTTTGTATCCTCATAGTTTAGCTCCCACTTATGAGTGAGAACATTTGATGTTTGGTTTTCCATACCTGAGTTACTTCCAGTTCCATCCAGGTTTCTGCAATTGCCATTATTTCATTCATTTTTATGGCTGAGTAGTATTCCATGGCATGTATATACCACAGTTTCTTTATCTACTTGCTTGATGGGCATTTGGGCTCTTTCCATATTTTTGCAATTGTGGAATTCTGCTGCTATAAACATATGTATGCAAGTGTCTTTTTTGTATAATAACTTCTTTTTCTCTGGGTGGATACCAAGTAATGGGATTGCTGGATCAAATGGTAGTTCTACTTTTAGTTCGTTAAGGAATCTCCACACTGTTTTCCATAGTGATTGTACTGGTTTACATTCCCAACAGCATCATAAAGTGTTCCCTTTTCACTACATCCCCATCAACATCTAATATTTTTTGATTATGGACATTTTTATGGGAGTAAGGTGATATCACATTGTAGTTGTGATTTGCATTTCCCTGATCATTACTGATGTTGAGCATTTTTCATATGTTTTTTGGCTATTTCTGTGTCTTCTTTTGAGAATTGTCCATTTATGTCCTTAGCCCACTTTTTGATGGGATTTTTTCTTGCTAATCAGCTTGAATTCCTTGTATTACAGATTCTATATATTAGTCCCTTGTTAGATGTATGGATTGTGAAGATTTTCTCCCACTTTGTGTGTTGTCTGTTTACTCAGTTGATTTTTTCTTCTGCTGTGTGGAATCTTTTTAGTTTAATTAAGCCTCATCTATTTATCATGGTTTTTGTTGCATTTGATTTTGGGTTCTTGGTCATGAAGTCTTTGACTAAGTCAATGTGTAGAAGGATTTTTCCAATGTTATCTTCTAGAGGTTTTATGGTTTCAGATCTTAGATTTAGGTCCTTGATTCATCTTGAGTTGATTTTTGTATAAGGTGAGATATCACAATCCAGGTCCATTCTTCTACATGTGGCTTGCCAATATCCCCGCACCATTTATTGAAGAGGGGGTCCTTTCCCCACTTTATGCTTTTTTTTAAATTGCATTTTAGGTTTGGGGTACATGTGAAGAATATACAATATTGTTGCATAGGTACACACATGGCAGATTGATTGCTGCCTTCCACACACCACCTATATCTGGCATTTCTCCCCATGCTATCTCTCCCCAACTCCCCACCCCCACTGTCCCTCCCCTTTTTCCCCCCAACAGACCCCAGTGTGTGATGCTCCCCTCCCTGTGTCCATGTGTTCTCATTGTTCAACACCCACCTATGAGTGAGAACATGCAGTGTTTGATTTTCTGTTCTTGTGTCAGTTTGCTGAGAATGGTTTCCAGGTTTATCCATGTCCCTACAAAGGACATGA